GCAGCTTGGCTCACATCGGTGGGTACACCGCGTGAGTAACGAGCGTGTTCGAAACCTTGCTTACGGCACGGGAATAGGAACTGAACCGCTCAGCACCGTCATTTCACGCACCAGACTCCGATGGCTGGGCCACGTGTTGTACATGCCAGCCCACCGGCTTCCACGACGTGCGTTGTTTGCTCACCGGGGATGTGGATGGAAGAAGAGGAGGGGTGGCCAAGCGATGACTTGGTCAAGTGGAATGAAGACTCTCACTTCGAAGCTGGCCTCGGTTGGAGCGTCACGGCTCCCTGCTTGGGATCCAAAAGACGGTGAACACGTTTGGCTGGATACACTTGCTGACATGGCAAGGAGCCGACCTCAGTGGCGTTCCTGCTGTGAGTTTCTTTGTCCTGCCCCATCCTTTTTAGTCTCCCCTCCACCTACGATCTCATTTCGTAGCGTACAACATGATAATTTTTCTTTTTGCCTAGTAGCTGGCTGGTAGCTTACCGGAACGATGCCTATCCGTTGCTGGTAGCTCAGCTGGCATGCAACTGTTGTGTTTATTTTCCTTCTCCTTTATATATTGCGGCACAGTAGTTGAGGTGCTTTACACCTCTAGCTGACGTGTATAATGATGATGATGTGTTGCAGGTTCCATAGCCTCTTCCATTGCGGGCGAGCTATCGGTTTGCTTTACGCTTGAACAGAAACTGCACCTGATTGTTGTCGAATTCTTTAGGGGCATTTTTGCAAGTAGTTGTAAACAAGGTCTTCTTGTGTTTTTTTGACTTTGATAATTCGGTTCTTTGCTTTCTTGAAAACCTTCGCCACAGCCTTTCCTTCCGGATGTATCACCTAGTTGTTCAAGGCTTTGTAATAACTCCGTGTTACACTGCATTGCACTCTAATGCAGTGTTTGGCGAACGGTATACTCACGGTGGCTCTTGAGTCAAGTCTTAAACCTACTGATCGTCCTTGTATTGACGATGTCGCAATAGTCCATCCATGCTCTTCGCGATCCCATCTGTTATCTCTAAAGTCTCTTGCTTTTCTTGCCGAGTTACAATATTAATTAAGCTAACGCTAGCCAATAGGCAACAGCGAGCGAAAAGGTTTGATTGGCCTTCACAAAAGTCAACCAACCACTCGATTATTGCTGAAACTTCCGGTTATTCGTCATAATCGCAGAATTTCCAGACTTCTACTATCCGTCTCGCATCTTCTGCAATGAAGTACCTGAACATCGCTATTTGATTTGATCTCGGCTATTTATCTAACGCGATCAGTGTAGTTAAATCCATCCATTTCGCTTTCCACACCCTCCAGCTATCCGGTAATGTGCTTTCTGTCAATTGTAGAGGATGCGGTAATGGAATCAACCTTTGTGCATCAAAGTCGAGTGGGGTTTGGCTGGTCTGAACTGACACCACGCCAACTGACCCTCCGTAAACTAAAAGGTCAAACTCTGGGCCTCAATCAGAAATCTATTATTCATAGAACACAAGCTCATTTTATATCTCGAGTCAATTAGAACCACTCACTGATGTAGAACACCACCTCGCTATTACACTCTTGGCCAGTGTTCGAGCTTCGTTCATGCCGATCTAAATCGATTGCGTACTATCCTTCAGTTCGCCTCTGCAGCGATCGGCCAACTTTTGGTCTTTTGGCACCAAAGTGTTAAGTCCGACTTTCGAGAAACAAGTAGCATACTCAGTTTGGCCTCACCACCACACTTGGGAGGTTTAGCGGAAGTTGTTCACTTTAAGGATGTAACAACATTTGAGGAGCTAGATCCTGAAAGGCGTCAGGCAATTACTCTAACCCGGTGGCAGTACGGGATACCAAGGCACCATTGGTTTATGATGACAACGTATAACGGCATCTATGGGGGCCAAAACGTCCTTTTTCCAGTTCGGCTATCAACCAGTGATCCCACTTTTGTTTTATTCATTCTGCTCACACCAATATATCTTTTCGGAAGTGATTGATGTTTGTCAATCGGCCGGGTACTTAAAGTATTTCCACAGGAGCAATAAACATCTGTACCTGATGTTCCGTGAAGGTACAGCCGATTATAAATAAATTCCAGCCAATCATGTGGCCGGCTTCAAAAATTTTCATTGCAAATCCCTTACATTGAAAATAAGTGCGTTTGGTATCCGCAGCCTATAACGAGCCAAGTGAAGTGCTCTTCACCTCCCAGATTAAATGTAAACCCTTTTTGATAAGGCTACCCTGAACTTATTATCTTTTGGTAATTTGCACATACGTTTAAATTCCAGTTGTTTGTTTGGATTGCGGTACGTTTTGAGCGAACCCTGAAAACTAGGAATGCTCAAAATCCGGCCCACGGGCCAAATTCGGCTCGCGTTAACATTTCAACTGTCCCGCGGCCTCATCATGAAACAATAAATTCAAGCTTGGATACGTTTCCGTACAGAAGGCATTATATGGGTTGCAAAAAACTTAATGACGTTACGAGTACAGAATTCAATGGCGTCAGATGGCAAAAATCAGTGATGTAGCATTATTTAACTTTAACCAACTAGGAAAAGTCAATCTAGCGTTTTTACTAAAAGGGTAGTAACTAAATAGAAAAAAAGGGGTTAGTTGAGATTCTATCAATAAGATGAGCTAAAGCTAGTCCGTTCTGAAATAGGGATTTTTGTTGTATAAGTTATCTCAGTCTCTAAATTTTCATTGTGCTTTAATCTATTTCAATGTGCTTGCTTAGACCCAACCGTTTCACATTTCTGATTATTAATTCCACAAAAATAAAATTTTTTGCTCCACTTCAACGGTTTCTATGATAAGGGGGTTTTAACTAAACTATAAAAATTAAAGAGGAGGGTTTCGTTAATTTTTTATTTAAACCAATTTCATGCCCGTACTAGAATGAAGAATGCAATCAAAAAAGGAAAGTTTACAGCGAAGGGCGTAATTTCTACGAATGGTGGAAGCCGGAGTATTTTGTCACTGAACGACTGACCAAATGTGTGTGCGTGATTTCTATGGTGTGGCCGTTTGCAAGGATTTCAATAGCAAGTAACATTGCGAAATGATGCATGCTATGACAAGTTGACTGGAATTAAACGATTCGGAAAGCTGAAGCAACTAGTAGCTGGAATAACCTCACAGCAAAGTTTGGTTGAAAGAATGCTCCAGTCGAATAAAGATGCTGCGTAGGCAGGCTATGAGGTGGCAAAACTAATAGCGAAACATTGCAAACCATTCACTGAAGGTGAAATTGTCAAAGAATGCATGGTGAAACTAGGGAACATATTTGTCCTAAGGAAAAGAATACTAAGGATTACCTGGCACACAACACTGTGATTCGCAGAATTGAAGACAGTTAGAAGTAAAATGAGCAAAAGTTGGTGCATTTTCGATAGTCTATGGTGAAGGCATTGATGCATCTGACACTGCCCAACTTCTCATGTTTTTTGTAAGGAGTTAACGATGATCTGTGTGTGAGTGAGGAATTACTTGACCTGCAGATTCTTTAGGATCAAACAAGAGAATTCGATCCATTTGCTGCTGTTTCCTTTGAAATCAATGACGTTAAACGATCATGAAAAAATGTCTGGAATTATTACTGACGGTGTCTCTGCCATGACTGGGGAGCACAGTGGATTAGCAACACTTGTCTGTAACAAAGTCAGCGGAGAGGGGATAAAGCCAAGAAACACCACTGCATCAGTCACCAACAGGTTATTTGTGCCAAACGTCTGAGGCGTAGTCATGTTATGAATCCAGTGATAAAAGCCATTAAGCATCTTCGCTACAAAGCCCTGTTTCATTGTCAGTTTTAACAGTGTCTACTAGATATCCAAAGTGAATACGGAGATGCTGCGTATCACAATGTTGTAAGATGGCCCAGTCGAGGAACAGCACTTAATCGCTTCTGCTTTCTTAGTAAAAGAAGTTGGACAATTCATGGAAAACAAGGGCCAACCGATACCAGAACCATCTGATCCTGCTTGGCTGGCTGGCTGGTTTTGGGTTATTGGTTGATATTGCACGACACATGAACATGTTGAACACGAGTCTTTGGAGTCATATTCGGTGGTAAGCCAATTATATTCACACTTCCTAACCTTTAGGAATAAGCTGCAACTTTTCCAAAGACAGCTGTATCAAACGCAGTCTAATAACGCACATTTTCCATCACTACAGGAAATCATGCCGTCTTCCATAACGCAACACCGATGCACAAATGCAGAGGTATTTTGCAAGTATTGTATCCCTGGCTGATGAATTTTAGTGACACATTCAGGACTTTACAGCCATCGAAAAGAAGATCGGGCTTGTTTCTTCTTTTCCAATGGACCTTGACAATGCTCCAGGCCACCTGCAACTGGAGATCATTGAGTTGCAAAGAGATATTGAATATCGCAGTCGGCACCAACAGTTCCTTTTTATCGAATTTTACCGCCAGTTGGACAAAGATAGATTCCAATTGATTCGAACATTTGCTAAGAAAATGCTCAACTGGTTTGGCTCGACATACTTGTGTGAGCAGATATTCTCAGTTTGAATTTTAACCAAAACCGTTTGAGGATGAGACTAAGTGATTCTCACCTACGTGATATCTTGTGTATCAAAACCAGTGTCATCTAGTCTGAGCCGATCAGTTTATCGCAGTCAAGATCTGTCACCCTTCAGATTAAAAGCTTGGAATGAAAAATTTATAGTGTATGTTATTTGTGGTTATTATCTTAATGTCAAACTGAATATGGTTCGACATATTTTTCTTCACAAAACGTGGCTCTCCTTGCGAAATGTTTGGACACCCTTATGGTAAGCATGTACCTAGCTTCCATACAGATGGTTTTGTTTGATACTAGTGCAAAGGTATCAGCTGTCGCATAGAAAAATGATAGTCGCGGTTGCTCTGTATTTTGCCAACCGAGATTGAAACCAAGTAATAACCAGGTGGTTGACTAGCCACCGGGGCATAGATGTCACCAAATTACATTAATATCAATAGGAAAATATATTCTCATCCTTACCTCAAATACCCTGGTAGCAATATAATTTGTAATGTAGGAAACGGTGTGTTCCTTATCTGACAGATTCGAACCGCAAAAAAACGTAGCCTGTTTTTGGCATGCTCGATACACCAAATACAGCGCGTAGGCCGGAGATAAGCTGAATATGACAGGACGATTGTCCTCTTTAGCCCGGGTATTCATAATTTGTAAATCTGCATTGGCGCTGCGTAACACTTGGTCGACCAGGTGCACATATCGATCCAGGAGGTTTGTCTTACTGGTCCATTCAGCTGCACCCTGAAGCTCGATTGTCAGTGGTAGACGATCCTCCGTGACCCCACTGGCGCTTCGCATATTCGGTGGAGCAGACAAGCGTGACCGTTCGGGTTGAGAGATTTGTTTCTGATCAGACAAATTGACTTCGGTCTAAATGGATAGAAGTAAAAGAAAAAACCGAAAGGGTAGTAAAACACTTGTGGTAATCCTATCATATTTGCACAATTTGCATTTTCGAACGGGCATTTTTCAAACAAATTGTACGACTTTCAAATAAAAAAGGACTGAATGTTTTCAACTCAGACTGGACGATGTCCGAATGATGTTACAATGAGGCTGTAACCTTAATCGTGAAAGCAGTGCGCGTCAATGCAGGCCACTCTCTTGCTATGGCCATGAGTCAGCTTGTTCATGAGGGCCGTTCACTTCAAGCAAGGACGGTAATCCAGTTATTCCCTCTCGTTCCGTCGGCTTTCTTCTATTACCTGCGGGTATACACCGGTTCCGATGCGCATTGGAAAGTATCATCCTCGTTCAGTACAGCTAGCTGTGAGTTAACAAACGAATGACGCGAAGACACATCCCCTAGCAACAACAGTATCAACGAACATACTTGTTACACAAAGAAAGCGTTAGCAATCTTGTGTTCGTCAACCGTAAAACCAACCATCAGTTTGAACAAGTCGCCGATATCAACGAGAGCACTGAAAAAATATCATCAATATCTAGAGACGAGAAGGGCGCCGTTTTACAGCGCAGGTGTGGAAAGAATAACTTGAAAGCTTAATGTTGATGTTTTGCAGCACATCGAAGGAACCGTTGAACGGCATTCGAAGGATACCATGGTGAAAATACAGCAATGGCTGCGGTAAAATAAGGTCCACCTTCGGAATCAGTGATTTCCAACCTCCTCAGAAAAATGTGGTTCACGCTCAAGAAGATCACCACAGGCTCGACAGTAACAAAAGTAAAGATGGTCTTTTGGCGCACGCACCACAAGTCAGGAAGAAAAGCATCTTCATTAAAGAGCGGCTTCAACCTCCATATGTGATGGACGCCAGCCGTCAAAGAGAGGGACACGCGCGAACGTCACCTTGCAGCATGCGGAGGCCGCATGGAGACGCTGATTGCGGCAATGAATAACCAAAACATCATTCACACAAATATCGTGGACGATTGCTCCTGCAATGGGGCAAATGTCTCAATCTCCATCGAAGAGTGGACATGAATGGTGCACGGCTGGTCCTAAAGAGAGCCAAAAAGCACGTGCTGGACGGCCTAAGGAGGATGCTGGACTCGCCTCCACAACTGTAGTTTCAGTCGCCTTACTCCTACATGCCAAAGCCAGTGGGAAACGGGTTTTGGAAGTTGAACTTGTTGGCAAAGCGCCTGCTGACCAACCCTACGCCTAGTCAGACGTCAGGTGCGGTCATTCAAGAGAGCGTCAAAATGATAACGCAGAAGGATTGCACGAACTGTGCCCACACTAGGATGCCAAGCTTGACGACGGAAGTAGCGAGACAGCCTTTCAATTAATGACTATTTTTATCGTTATTATCTTTCTCCTTATTATTAAATTGCCTACGTACTAAACAGCATAATAAACAGTGCCAAAATAGATTTCCAAAACGTGCAGTTTGGTTGGAAAATCGTCCATTTTGGTTTGAGTAATGTCCAGTTTAAAGTGAAGGAATGGCATACATGTGACCTATTTCATCCCGGTTTACCTGTGCCGGATTTAAAGAAATGAACCAGCCGGTACGTTGGAGTCATTCATGTGTGTTGAACCACAGAAGAAGCCACTCAAGCTGTCACTGTCCTTCGTGTCGAATAACCGAAGGAACAGGCGCCGACCAAAAAGCACATGGAACTCGAATCAATCGACTTTATGTTTGATACCACACGTTTCGGATTGAAATGCACCTTTAACTACTCTGACCGTCGAATGACCTTTGCCGTGTCCAGGTTTCAGTGCAATACTCGAACAACATGGACATTCTTTCGGGGGATGCCACAGTTTATTGACCGGGCGTTATCGGAACGTGAAGCACGCATAACTATTTCGTATTCGCCACAACGTCTGTTCGACTAACTGAGGTCATGACAACCAATGCATGATGACTCATCCAACGTGCTTCATTCGCCGGAGCTGCTTCTCCAACTCGAATGTGCACTAACGAACTCAGTTGCCTGAATACAACTAGGCCAGAGAACAAGAGCGGTGTACAGGGTGTGTGCGTGTATGCTAGCCGATAGTCACCGAAGTGTAACCAACATCTCGGTTCTTTGTTTCGCACTCTTGTTGCCGAAATACATTTGGCGGACGAATTTTGCGGGTTACCACAGCTACGCGTTCGACATGGCATCAGCGAACAGAAGTGCAACGCAGTGCCACATGGAGTTGGCATCATCGTCCGTTGGCAGACGTCTGAGACTAGCTTAGCTTTCACGGCAGGTTACGACCGACCTGGGAGTTCGCGTTGGCTTAAAGAACGCCGAAAGGTTTCATTGTGTGCTGGGATCTTGCTTATGGCACATGCACAAAAGGGAAGAAAAGATTCCTGTGCGTGGTGTTAACCTGTACAGCTAAGGCACTTGGTCCAGCGTAACAATTTTGTTCCCCGGTTTAAACTGGCGTGTGCACACTTACGGTGTAGTTTTTCCAGATGAGATACCCTGTGTCCTTGAAATTAAAAACTATTCCTAAAGGGATACCAGCTTGGCCAATTCCTTCTACAACTTCCGAACTCTTTGTGACTACTTCCTATTGTCCTGCTTCATTCAGCTGTAAGTGAAACTCGGGCAACACCTCAGCTATCGGCGGTACACAATGGAGGTAGGTATTTGTTCACTAATGCAGTAGGTCTTGATGACTTGTGGACGGAGACATCAAATTGTGTGGTTAGGACTCGTGGGACTTGCATACACTCGATTTGATACGGAGGTCCGTACATTAAGCTGGTTGCATAAATGAATCGTGTATGTTCACTCACCCTAGAGCAATTCATCTTGTCACTGAAGGTGTAAGTAGATACGGACGATAAGCGCAGGACACAAACCCGCGTGGCTTATAGGAAAAACAGAACAAAACGTCATATCAACAAAAGACTTGCCCGGAACTCTAAGGCTGTTAGCCGGTGGAAGAGTTTCAGTAAATTAGTACCCGGCAAGTGACAGAATAGATTAGGGGCTCGGTTGCGAATAGAAGTAGACAAGTCAAACACACATTCAGTGCGGTAGTTTGACAACAAAAGAATACAACTACACGTCGACTGAAATGAGGTTGGCTAGATAGCAGGCTTTGTGCCTGCATGCGGTTAACAGCCCAGTGATTCACAGCCCCGCCGAGGGGCATCTAAGAAATTGATCGTTACTTGGGGGGGGGGGCGGAAAGCAGTGCACGATGCGCCGATTATTAAACCGACAAAAACGCTAGCTAAGATCCACCTGGAATAACTTGTTGTTAACCTGGATTATCTCCAAATATCATCTCAATAGCATTATTGGTTCTACCTAAGTGATTTATCGATCTACCTATCTATCTACCTATATATAAGCTGCAGTTTCAGTGCGAGAGAATCACTCTGCCGTGTGACAACTGGTTCGAACCACAGGAAGAACCGGCCACGTACCTGGGAAAAAGGCCATTTGATTCTGACCATTTATGTGCGGACAAACTGTGTTCTCCACTTCAGCTCTGCAGCGATAAAAGCTGAAGTGATATTGCTGTACTTTGGCTATCGTTCCAGCTGTGTGTCACCGGTAGCGCATTAAGAGAAACAAGGTTAGCAAATCGCATAGGGATTACCTCCAGATGCACCGATTAAAAGCCATGGTAAGATGAGGCTAGACGGTACATGCGGTCAGTGCTTAATGTCACTAATGGATTCAAACACGTTGCAAATCATTAAAAGAGTACTCCCAAAGTTTGAACTCAAGTCGTTTAGATTGCAGCGCACGGTTATTGAAGAATTATGGTAAGGATACCATGGATCGCTGACAGCATCAATATGCGTCTACCTCGGTTGACCTTCCAACAATCGAAAGAACAATTATTTCGAGCAAGCTAAGCTGACGCTGCAGCTGAGACTCCATCATGAAACCCAGCACAGGGACTGCGGTTCACCACTGATGTGACCGTTCTATTCATAGTAATTTTAGTTCAAGGCTTGGTTAGTCTGTGTTCCTAAGATCTCAAAGCAGTTTAGAGTCCTTGCGAAAACAATGGAGTTTATAACCGCATAACATGAACAGACATGTATTTACGTGAGGACTGTCAAGTCTCTATCATTTAAGTGACCTGAGCTAGAGAGGTAGCTAAAAAAGGAGAATCAAGCGCAGACCCACGTTGATGAACGAACCGTAGTTCCACGAATTATCCCCTCATGAATACATACATTGTTATATGTAAGATGCTTGTTCAGCAATTTCCATGTTTCGTTGCAGTTCATAGAACCGCACGGATGAACGTTTCCATCAAATGCCATTTTCTCAAATAACCTACATTCGACGTGACTAATATCCATCAAACACATATGCAGGACAGCCAGATAGTTGATGTGCATTGACGATTGACACAAACATGAGCAACAGGGGAGCAAACCGGAGTTAGCATCCAGAAAATGTGTAAAACCCACTTTGTGGAAATGCACCCGGAATAATATCTCTCTCAGTGCTACCATTGATGCACACCTCATCAAGCACGCGCCTACAATGGGCTTTCACTAACCGTATACGAATACGTTCAAAGTACAGAGCTGAAATTGTACCACCGCGTTGTTGGATCAACTGCATATGAATGATTGGTACCGTAAATAGCCCAACCAGACCTCTGGACAGAAACTTCCTCCGTTCGTGGTATTTTTTGTTACAGTTGCACTAGTGTGCGCAATGACTATCCAAAACCAGAATATCATAATGCAGGTCACTAGGTTATTCACAGCACAGACGTCTGCGTGCTCAAAGCGTTTTTGGAGGGGATGGTCTGTGTTGTCGAAATGTGTCACGTGGCCATATCGACTAATGACATAGGCAGTGGTCCAAGAGTAAGATCACGCCGCCACTTCAACCATAGGATGAGTGCCCTACTTACGGTTGGGGAAAAGGTGACGTGGCTGTTTGGGTTTCCGAGTGTTTGGCGTCTTCCTGATTAAACTGCCTTGCGGCAAACCCATACACTTACTGAACAGTCCCATTACGCGCAAGCAGACAAAAGGTAGCTCGTGAGAGTACAATTGAACAGGCGACTCGTGATTCGATACTGTAAGTTTTTATCCAGTAGAAACGACATACACAACTGGCAGAAGTGATCTTGATAGCTGCGGGTGATTAAGGCAACATAGGTACTAGCTGCCATTTCACTTTGGTTGCCAAACCTTTCCTTACTCCATGATGAGTGATGTCTTTGGATCAGAAGTAGCCGCGCAGCCTAAACCTCTTTCCTGTTAAGGTGATTCCACATATCTGAAGAAGAAAACTGACCGGTCGTTCGTTTCTGACGGCGCGATCGCAGTTTAAGTGAGGTTATTTGTAACTAATGCACGATGATTTCAATTATTCGGAATCTTACAAGTCACAACAGCGTCAACCCTAACTACGGAGACCTCGAAGAGTTCCAATTGTGGATTCTGGATATACTCCCCACGGAACAACGATTGCACTTCCATCTGTTTAAATGCACTAATTTTCTGGCCCAGTGGCCGGCTAATTTCAAAAACAGCGGAGGCTGTAATGACGGATGCAAACTACATGTGGTTGTAGGCAGTTCGGACGTGATCTTTGTTCGAAAAGCTTGTGGTGACACTAATTACCAAGCATGCATACGTCACTGCTAATTCGCTGAATTATTCAAGTGTGCATTGGAATGAAGGGTGAACCGGATTAAGTGGGCGCTAAAATAGCCGGTCAATGAGTATAGGTCAAGCTAGGCCAGCGAAGAAATTGATTCAGAATGGAACTGTCTGGCGAGCGGTAAATTCAACTGTGGCAAGGGGCTTTAACTCTGAGTTGCTCCAGTTGAGGTTGTGGTTTGACTTGGGTGGTTATGGTACAATCTTCATTAATGCACATGAGGGTAGGGGCTTGACCTCTCAGGACACTTGGCTCAGTAATTATTCTTTAGTAATTCCTCAGGTTTGCACTAAAAAGCCTAATGGCTTTTTCTCCGAAGGTGACTGCCCGCATGTGCGCACCCAGTGACCGAGAGCACTCCTCACCTAATCAAACTGGATGGAGGGATACAAGAGTCGTCCTACAAATTAACTGCAACAGTACTCGGGGATTGTGTGAGTCCAAAAGCACGGTGTGCAGCAGGTAAGTAAAGTGAAGTAAGTAAAGCAAAAGACGGAGAGGAGAGAACAGAGCCACTACCATGACTTAATTGGTTACAGTCCTCGTTTTGATAGTGATAATGGGTTATTTGTGAAAAAGAGTGGTGGCGTGAACACATCTTGCCTGGGAGCACAGTGCCGCACCCTGGTAGTGACGAATCCCCAAGTGCCCACGATTATGTAAATTAGCTCAAATATGATTGCTAGTTACTTATGAATGGAAGGATTTTGGTGAGTAGTTTGTTCGTCGCAATCAGCCGACAATTCAGATATGTCGACCAGTTATCCGGAAAAGCACCAGACGGCCGTTTCGCCCTATTGGGGCTCATCAGTGGTGCTAGTTGCCAACCGCTCGTCCGAAGCCGGTTGCAGGTTAGTCAAGGAAAGTACATTCAAGCAGGAGTCGAACTAACGAAATGTACTCACTTGTGCCCTGTTCCAAAAGTTAGACATATACACACAATCATATAGTTAATGGGCGGAAAATTGACTGGGTTCATGCGGTACGGCAATCAAGAAGGATACTTATAAAGACAGTGAATTCTATAGAATGTTGTCGTGACTTCCTTCTGGGAGCCAACAGTTAGCTTCAATCACTTCCACGAACCAGCATAAACTATGTGCCTGTTCTGTGTTCTGAGATGTTGGGAGCCTGTGACAAGGTGACACCATGTAGGCGACAGTAATAAGTGATGCAGTAACAGTATTGTCACCACCTCCAGTGAGAAAATGCTTCCTGGAAATCAGATTTCTTAAGCCCACATTAATTGAATGACGTGAATTGCAACGCAAAGAAACAAACCGTGGACTTTCATAAAATGAGGTGGCTGGTGTGGGAGGAGGAAAAGTAACAATGTGAATAAAACGGGTCACACGCGTCAATTGGAATTTGCGGAGGAAGCGTGGGAGGCCATGATGTCAGACGGTGCTTGAAATCGCCCGTTGATGCAGTCAGACTAATCATACCGTTTGGCAACTATTTGTTTGCTTGAGACCAAGTGGTTGTGCGACAATCTTGTGCTTTTTTAGCTGCACATAGCTTTACAAACCGATTGCATGAGCAGTGTGTTTGCAATTGCAAAGGAGGTACAATTATGCCAGTGCTTAATTCCAACATCCGAGTTGGAATTATGTAGAGAATGAGCATAGTGCAGTGATAATCATGCATCCATTGTATCAGGGTTCGTAACACACTTGGGTGTAACGTGGAACTGTTTGACAACCATTGCGCCGAGTTCTTTGTATCTCTGACATTGTGATGGTGCTGATGCCATAACATTTAGGTGACTGGCGCAGCACTATCACCATCGTAGGTAGTCTACACTAGGACGAGCCAAATGCAACACTAAGAGCTTCTGCTTCCACAGTCTGACTGCTTCCTGTGATTCTGCCGTATATATCAGTGAACAAACAGCCATTCAGATCTAGGTGCGACCAGGGGGTTGGGATGGTAGTGAAGACGCTGCTTTGGATAAACCGCTGCGAATCGCCGACTTAAAGCTTATCCAGAGATAGTTCTAGCTTTGAGCAGTTTCATATGTAATGCACCAAAACTAAAGTACCTTACTTATGCTGTGTGACGGTTATTTAATCAACAAGTAACTGGCCCCCATAGGGCTCATTGCAAATAAACCGACTGAATATAGTGTGTGGTTATGTTAATCCAACGTGGTACCTGTTCACGTCAGTTTGAAGACATACTGTCGATAACAAACAAGGAAACGTTTTGTCTACAGGGGGATCAGTTGCCACGGTCGATGCGGAGCAGTACTACACAAAATAACACCCGTTAGCTTGCTTGCACTGATTTTAACTTCTTGGGACATTTCCCGCAGCTCAGTAGGCTGTAAAGCTGACATACTCAAAAACTAGATGGATCGGTCTAGTGTTGCTACGCAGTGTCGAAGGACCGGGTACTCATGTTTACTTGTGTCCAATTGTTCTGACTCTAACTCAACAACTTCTCCTCCCAGAACGAGCATAGTGTCTACAATATGTTTACCTGATACTAGTAGCCAATATGAGCACCACATATCCCTCATCGGCTCACAGGTGCCATATGAAAACAGAAAGGTTACTTTGCAAGGCAAAAAATTATACTCTCTTGAGATACTTCGAAATGCGGTGGATGTGATGCACAATGGTGGCTAGAAGATGAGACGAATAGGCTTCAGTAATTCGTTAGCTGAGCCCACAAACGTACGTCATTGACCATAAGCTGACATCGATTGCTTGCGTCGGTAGCCCCAAGCTGACGCCCATTGCGTAGAGTATAAAGTAGGTGTCTGTTTATGTATAATATATTTATATTGCGGCTCAGACTTTGTTTTCGACCCTGGAAGGCCATCCAGCACAAAATAAACGACTTGTGACCGTGCGCTACATATACCTTTGTGTCTAGTGATGTGAAGCTTGAAAGCAAACTACCAAACATCAAAAGGGAATCAACGCGTCAACCGCACCTACTCATAGCCAGTAACGGGGCTTCGCAAGAACAGGAGTGCAACTGACGACGTGTCCAGTTCTACATGTGACAAGGGTTCGGGGTTCCTCTGGATGCTGAAATTCTAGTGACAAGTCGACCTGCACCATGTTTATTACCTGTTGCCAACAGTATTGTTTGCAAGATGCTAATAACTATTCAATTTCCAGGACTAATAGTCAGCATCTACACGACTTTATGAAATAAATAAATAAATTTTCATTCTCGAAAGGCCAGAGGCAAGCAGTCAATAATATTTCTGACCTCATTCAGGTCGGAGAACACAAATCCGTGAGCGAAAGCTGACAACGAAATTTACACTCGTCAGCCATGATCTATTACGTTCTAAAACTTATGAAAGCATGTATGACCACATAGCAAGAGGGAAATGTAGCTCAACACTGTGCAAATGTGTAGTATGAGGAGCTTTAGGGAAACCGGATGAAACAGAGTGGTAAAATCGTGGTTTTATCTTCCCAAGAAGAACCTTGTATGGTCTAATTGCAATAAAAGTAGTGGATTCGGGTTTCAATTGGTGCTACTACAGCTGACCCAACATGGACCCAAGCGTCAAGTGGTGAGTAGCAGTTCAGCCAGGACGAATTAAGAGCAACAAGTAACATTGTTAAAAAGTGCTTCTAGAACCGATTTTATTGCTGCAATCGATTACACGCCACACCTAGTTGTTCTTCGAGCTAAAAGCTATACTGCATCAATAAGGCAGCAATCAGCCCTTCTTTGGCGAAGCTTAGAGCTTGCAACGCGATCAAACATAGTGCGTGCTTTCACCTTTTAGTTACATTTAACTGCTTATATGAAAATGATCCTCCCCATTTAGAGTAAGAGATCCGCCTGCAATTCCAGCCATTGGTGGTCGGAAGATAGCAGTAATTTAAAAGTTCGGTTGACATCTGATCTGTGGATGCGAGGGATGGACAATTACCATGACTTACCGGTGTGCTTCGGCGCGGGACACCTGGGTGGCTTCCGCCTGTGCGAATGCTACTCTTCTCTCCGAGGTTTTGAGATGGGGCTCCATTTTTCCTCCTGTCCATTGTGGCCTGTGGTGTTATCGCCTCCGCGCCATCGTCCATTGTCTCATACGTCTGAACAAACTTCAGCCACAGTGATTTTCCTAGCCGCAGAACAGTCCCAGGTTGAAGAATCATTGGACCTGTGATACGTGTATCATTTAGGCGAATTGCGGCTGGACCTGGAGGCTTGGCAAACCCGTCCAGCGATGGAGTTACGAGTAACGAGTATTGCGTAAGAGATTCCAGCTCCTCTGGTTGTCCAGTACTTGGTATTCGCCATTTGGAACCACTCGTACTCGCCATTACCACATTGAATGTGCAGTGCACCGGACGAATATCAGGATGTAAGTTCTGTAGAAATTTTGAAAAGAAATGGATTTAGTCATGTTTAAGTAGGGTGACAAAACACGGAGTCTCGCTTTAGCAACGTTCGCATTGGGATATCACACACCATAGTTGGGCGGGGCATTTCTTTAACTTGGTAACTGCCATAGAATACTTGCCAAAATCGCCTTTTATTTGTTTGTTTAGAGAAGTCCGATTTCTGCTTTTACGGCCGCTAAATTTGACGAACTGATTTCATCCAGTCGTGTTGGGTGATTACTTTTGTCCAAATAGCAAAGCGCGCACTTAAAATTCGAACATTTAACTTGTCGGTCAAAATATTTGTCTACAAATCCTAGTAAATTGGTGATTGTATACTGTGCAGGAGCAATGACTTAAGCTGCAGCTGGGTCTTACAATTTTTTGTGGAGTGTTTAAGTATCGGTTACGTGCGTTCAAATGCAACATTCGAACGAGAAGAAATACTGTTACCATTGACCACTATAAGCCATCGGTTGTTGCAGTGAGGATGATTTCGGATTGAGACCAGTGTGGTGAAGGAGTCGCTCACTGCTTGGGTTCAGGCAAGGGACCTGATTACGTGGTACGGGAAACATGCAGTCACATGTCTTGGTTATAGGTTTTACTGATGCATGTGAAGAGATAATCGATTGACATCGATTGCTATGAGTAAAGAGAATTACTTTGTCCACTAGAATGTTCGGCGGTGGTCCCACCATCTTCTCAATCGTCCCGAGTCTGATGGCTCCAGAGTATGAATGATTGAAGAGCTCGGTCACAGAGGCGAACAAGCCATCTGGTACCTCCGGGTGTTCTGAATCTCCTGACACTTCGATTAAATAGGAGCATAATTCTGGTTGCTGGTGTTCTACAGTGTGGCGTCTCTGTACAGTACCCATGGAAGAAGGCGGAGCCCTTGGATGTGAGGGCGCTGCCGGAGGAGGTCGTCTGCCATCTTTCCCGATGGCTCGGCGATGCCGAATTTGGAAGACACATGTGATATGTTCTGTCATACTGTGCACCTGCTCTCGAATCGCCAACGGAGAGTCCTGATGGTGTAGGGTTAATTCACGTTCCATATCCAGCCTATCAGAAAAGGGAAGCGGAGGAACTATAGTTTGGGTGAAAATGCTGGATAAACGAATTTCTACACATAATTTTTATCCGACCTCAGTTGCCGAGCACAAAAATACTAGTAGAAAACGAATATTCCACTGCTACAAGCTGGGATGATTTGCAAAGGGTCGTACCACAGGAAAGCAATGAAGACACCGGACGATTCGATAGATCGTTGGAGATAACGCTGTGACCATTCTGTTGCGAACTTTTTCCACTACTATCGGACGTGGGTTGCGTGAATTGCAGGTGCGCTGAACGACAATCATGTTTTAGTAAACGGACTATTCCAATAAAGTAGTTTGGATCAGAATCTTGGCTAGGGTCGCAGGATCCAGTGATAGCGTAGGAATCAGTCACTTACGGGAGGCGCTCTCCCCTCGGTGGAATGTTCATTTGGACCAAGCAGTAATCTTGTGGGTTAACTTGCTTCGTTACTCCATATTTCTCCAGCGTCCAATGAACAACCTTATCGGCAGTGTCATCTGGGGACAATCGAAGTGTAATGAATGGCACTTCCGGATTGATCGAGTCTCCGTAAATTTTCACGGAGCCATCTGGAAACGAGAGCAGAGTAAAGACAAGGTGACAATCCATGACAATTTCCACACGTTTTATAAGCCCTTGAGCAAAAAACAAATTAACTTAAAGCGGTCAAACCACTTTCAGCTTAGATATTACAGGTTGAGGAGTGAGTTTGCAATCATAGATGTGAGTGAGGTAGCTAGGAAGTCCGCTGTGCAATGATTTATCTCGATCATTTTAAGTGAATGCAATATCTAGAAAAAGCTAGCAGTCTACTGTCTTACCACCTTTACATCCAATGTCTGTCGGTCCACCGTAGGGGATTCTTTGTTGCATTCCCACACGTGCTCCGTCCTGTTGGATGTACCGTAGTTCACTGGTTTTGCTTGACCCCATTGGTATGCAGTTTAGAGCATTTTCCAGATTCTTCACCTATTTGACTCAATGCGACATCACCCATAAAACGACATTTGTTGTTCAACCCTACTGTATGACTCTGAAGACGTCTATCAGAGCGACAGAAATAAAGAGGATAATGACTTTCAACTATCACTGCCTTCGCAGTTTAGCTCACATCTGGTGGGAACACCAGGCGAGTAATGCACATTTTCAGTGTTAGGCTTTTGGTGCACGAAGAGCAAGTGGACCGCTCAGCAGCGTTACATCACACACCAGGCTCCCACGACTGGATTATGTGCTGCGCATACCAGCACATTGACTGGTGACGCACGTTGTTTGCGCAACCGGCATCTGGATGGAAGGAAGAGACGCCAATTGATGAATTGAGAAAGAGCAATGAAGACATGCATTCCGAACCTGGCCTCAGTTGGTGCCTCCTGACTGCTGGGTTAGAGTCCGGAAGATGATGAAGAAGTTTGCTTGGAGACTTGGATGTTGGTTTGGCCTTGAGCAAACCTTAACCGTGCTTGTAGTGTGTGTTTCTTTGTTACTCCTTCCGGAGTATCTTCCATCAAACCACCAACTTATGTTTGATACGAAATAAAAACAAAGAAAAATGCTTTTACTTTTTCTCTGAATGCATCGATAGGCTTTTTCGGTGCACAACTGGTCAAATTAGCAAAAAGCTCTTGTTTCAATTATCATCATCAGGCCATTAAAATTATGAGGAAGAAACAGACTGTGGAAGCTGGGTTGTAGTCGTCTGCTTTTTGAACGAGACCAGTAAATTTAATTAATACTTAAGCCGATTCACTGGTGACAAGCTTCGCAGGCGACGTTGCGCTGTCAGTGTCTGACATCAGGGAATTGCAGCGGGAGGGCTTGAACAAGATCCTTCTTCTAGCACAATACCGACTGGATCAGTCTGATAGCGATTGACTTAGCCATCTTCGATAGATACTTTCTGAGCACTGTATGCTATCGGGCGCGTCCCCGGGGAATGCTTTCCTTGTGAATGTAATTGTGAAGCAGTCATGGTTGCTTTGCAGGCGAGTGAATAAGCAGTCGCGGACAATCAGCGGCAGCGTCTCAGAATGTGGGGAGTTCTGCACTGACCATCTGGTTCCCCATCGCATACCACAAATCTCGTACAACTCGGTGTCAATGATGATGTGACCTGCTACCTCGTCACCGACCACTCCTATCTGTAACCAGAGGCGAGAAACTAGAGGAGGTTAGGTGAATAACTTTGCTGGCCGCCGGGTTCTGCTTGAACTGCTGATCGTGCAATCCAGTGCTTTGTGTTAAATTGGGCTTATCCCCTCACATTCTTGTGCCACCTCTTCGGAACTACGCTCAATCGATTCGGATCACTGAGCTCTATCCAACGGGGTCGATATTTTTGAAGTAAGTCCAACGACACACTGGTACACCACAAACAAAATCTTCAAAAATCTATTCACTAAGGCCAACTTGAGTAACTTTGCTTAGTTGAGTTTTATCAGTATCTTTGGGATACCATTCGACAGAGCTTCTTTAAGGCTATCAGACAATATATAACAGTACTCTGCACCACTGTATAACACAGGTACAGGTGTTTTTGTCCTCTCACGTTACCACCATATTTCAACGTGCATTTTACTGCACAAAGCCTGTGTGATTTTGGCTACTAGTGGGCCTAGTGACGCACCACTACCAAACCCGCTGACCGGAGCAGCCAACTGAGGCAGCCCAAACAGCCTGACCAGCGCAACCTAAAAGTGCATACCGACCATTGATCCATGGGCCGGAGAAGTTTGTCGACCGGGAATCCAGTGAGCAACAAACCCAAGGTCAACCGTAGCTCAGACAAGCGGGGCACTGAGATCTCTCGAAAATCACGTGTTCGTTCTGTGCCAATTCCTACGGCGCAACAAATGTGAACATTACACTTAACGGAGCTAACAGCGTATCGACAGATAGGTTATGGTTCTGTGACATGTTCAGATAGTCCGATAATTAAGATTGTTCAAACGCTTACGATAAGGTGTGAAGCGTTGGCTGTTACGTCGAGAGACCAAGAGGAACTGATCGCGTCATTGAGAGGGAAAATCTCAGAACTCGAGTTGCAGATTAGTGCATTACATAGTCCGAATCCCCGACCTGTTAAAAGGCAAAAGCTCTCTAGCAACAATGCTACACAGTCCAGCGAAAGGCAAACACAGTGAAAAACAGCAGTGAAAATAGGCCGGTTGAACGGTCTTCTAAGTCTCACGTAATGCTCCAAAGCATGCAGAGTTACGCACAAATTGCACGATCACCTCCGTCAGTAGCTGGGCAACAACAATTGACTCATACAGATAGTGAAACTAACGGCTTTGCACGTAAAACATCTTGCTGTACCCTTGGCCTATCGTCCACGGAAGACAAGCCAGACACCCCCACTCGACAAACCTACGTTCAGAAGGAACTGCAGAACAAACAACTACTACGCAACCAAAAGAAGATGAGAGTGATATGTTCAAACGTCCCAGAACCCACTAGCGAATCGCTAAAAGGTAGACAAGCCGAGGAGCAAAACCACTGGGCTGTAATAACCTGCGCATTCGGACTGAAAGTTCTCCCAATTAGTCTTACACGCTTTTCACGAAAGCCATCATCTCCACACGTAGTGGAACCTCGGTTACTGTGAGTACGTTTGACAACCCACGCGACGTGAAAGATGTTCTCTTAGCAAGCCACATTCTAGTGAACTATTCTGTTAGTGCCCTCATTTTTCCTGACAGTCCATGGGCAGAAAGACAAGCGGAAATCCAACCCTAGTTCGTCACGTCGAAATGAGATGAAGAAAGTGGTACTGGTTCATGATGTGTCAGAATTGAAGCATGGTGATAGCAGTGAACGACAGGAGCACGACATCGAAGAATGGAGGTACACCGCAGAACTCTATGATATACAGAATGTCGCGAATTTGAAGTCACCGTTTAATTGCATCCACAAACTACCAAGGTAGCGGGCCACGATTTTTGAAAGTTATCTTGGCTGCACCCGAAATGGTATCAGTGGCAATCCAAGCATGGCATGACAGCAGGAAACTTGGGCCACCAGAAGTACGGTTAAGACCATTCCTTCAATTAGTACAGACCTCAGATACAGATAAGCCAGTCTCAATGGTGCCTATCTTAAATCAGCCAACCATGCAAACAACAGTTTCAAAAGAACTTCAGCAGACCGGTACTACTTGTGCCGGTTACTCACAGCGAACCGAGCTCCTGATGCGTCAACAAATACAATGCTGTTGCACCAACACCCAGGGGTTATATTCGAAGCTCTCGGAACTGCGTCATCGACATGAAACAACAACTTTGGACCTCATAGCAGTTACTGAAACTCGGCTCTCAAACGACATACTTGATCCAGAGATTGAACTCAGTGAGAAGTCAGTCATTCGAAATGATTGTCCATCTCGCGGTGGCGGTGTTGCTCTCTAATATCTAGATTATTTGAAATGTGAGGCTCTTACCGAAAATTCCCTTGTTATTCCCGACACACTATTTTGCCGACTGCACCTAGCGTGTCGAGATGTTGGTTCACAGAAGACGAGTAATGCTTGCCTCTTAGCAGTTATCTATAGGCCTCCGAACTCATCAGCAGACAGCGATAACATTCTGTTAAACGCCCTCCGCTATGCTGTTTCACAAAAGTACTCTCACTATCTTATAATGGGTGACTTTAGTGTTCCTTCAATAGCATCAATGTCCCCTAATGGGCCATCATTTAAATCGAAACTCCTCGAATTCATGGATATGGCAGTTTTATATAACTACGTGTATCGACCAACCAGACATCGCGATTCAAACAAGACATCACTCCTGGACTTAATCCTGACTAATGAAGAGTTGATGGCTGAGTCAGTAGCATACGATCCTCCACTGGGCCGTAGCGACCATTCAGTCTTAACATTTGGTTGTGTCTTATGCTAGTTTTGTTACCAAAGGAAGAGAGACTCAACGAACTATTACGGACTATTTTACGCTGCACACTTTAGCAGCAACCGTTGACTGGGTCCTACAGACGCACAGCTCAGTGAATGACGCGTGGAATGAACTGAAAGACAAAATTAACTAAATCATACAATCAGCATCGAGGGTTGTACTATTACGAGCATCGCGTTGGACTAATACGTGGATCCGGAGCAGAACACGTAAATGGACCAACAGAAGAGATGAAATCTGGAGACAACATTTGCTAAGCCCATGTGATATCACATGGCAGAATTACAAAGTCATCAGACGCTACTGCATGTCGCTCATTAGAGTGGATAAGTACGAATGACAGGAGAACCTGGTTCTGAAATTTACGAGTAACACCAAACTACTATACAGATTTATGAATGGCAAAAGAAAGATTAAGCCCGGAGTACCACCACGCGAGACGGCCAGTGGCCTAACAACTACTGCTGTGGATGCCGCGAATGTTCTACTCCTGCAGTTTAGCTCTGTAGCTACAAATATCATGGAACTTTCGCCCTATCAAGTCCCAACAAATATCGCTGGCTTATCCAGCGTCACCTTTACCCCTCAGCTGTTAAAAGCAAAGCACAATCTCTCCGGGAATACAGTGCCCCTGGAATCGACATGATCTGCCCAAAAGT